GGCGGCATTTAATTTGTGTGTCCACCACAGAAATGATTATTAGCTTTGTTGCGAAGTGACACAAAATGCTTCCAACAGTAATGTCTGCTATAACACTTACAAATTTTAATGTTTTATTCTCTAATTTCAATAGATGATTATTAGCAGATTGTATTTGCTTAACGAAAAAAGAATGTTGCCGTGATGAACATACCAACATTAACATTGGCCTTCTCTAACAGCGTGGAGACACTGAACTCGTCATCCTCAACCGTGTGGCCTGTAGAACAGAAACAATTTCAGTTACTTCATGTAGCACTTTGTATTAACATCATGTCATCATATAAAACGTAGCCACATCTTTACCAGAGTACTCCTCGCCATTTTCAAAAGGACCCTGTGATAAGACAAAAAAATGAAAGATGTAAAATTTGCTTCAATGTAAATCCAGGTATGTTCCAGCTTGGATTCAACTTCTGTCTGAGGATACTTTGAGACTTTGCAGGTTCCAAAGAAATAGCATTTAGCTGGAAATGAGGGCATGCTGGAAACTGGTACTTCCTATCATTGTTAAAACAGTTAAATTTTCTTGCCTTAGATAAAAAGGTAATGCAATAAACACTTCACTGTAAGTATAAAATTAAACAGAATCCCATCAAGCTTTGAGCAACTTATCAAATCGTCTTTGATTAGAAACTATTTTCACCTTGAATTATTATTGTCATTTTTAAAATCTCCTTTACTCTACATAAAAAGAGTAATTGGGACTTTCACATTTCACTTGAAATGTAACTTAAAAAAAGAAGTATTTATCTACTTATTGACACCTCATTTGTCTGCCGATGCTTACCTGTATAGTAAAAGTCTGGACAGAGCAGAAGAGGACACCGAGCGCAGCAGCCTGGAGGATCATGACTGGTTAAAGGACAGCAGCACCGGACCAAAGTAAAGCTACCAGAGGTGTTCCAAACTTATATAGGAGGAAAGGAGAACCAACTTCCCCCTAATATGGCTTACTGAAGACTGGTTGACAAATACAGTCTGAATAGAAGTGGCAGTTATTGCTTAAAACAGACTTTGGTTTGTGTAAGATGTCGACTTTGTCGTTGTTTACGGGAAGGAACAGATTACATATGGAAGAAGTCAGTGATAGGCTGCACAAGAAACGGGTCAAATTGATTCTTTTACCAACTACAACTTAGATATCGCGATGGACACCACAGGAAAAAATAATCTCTGAGATTTTGGGTCTTCTTTCAGATGACATTTTGTCCTTAATTCCTCAGAAGTTACCATTTTTTAATGTCACATCTGCACATTTAAACAAAACATTTCTCAAAAAAGTATTAAAAAAAAGTCTACCACCACCACCAGTGTCTGGACTCCCAAAGGGGGGGATATGCCTCATCTTGGCTCGGCGTCTCGGCCCCTGGTCTTTTCTATGGCAGGAAACAAAGTCTCTGAGGAATGAAATTACATTTACTCCAGTAATGTACTTTAATATAATTTCAGGTACTTCTACTTGCCATTATATAAAACGTTATACTTCTAATACATTTACTCCTCAGGAAAGGAAAAATAATCAGGAGACGTAATGAGAAGAGAAAGGTTTTCATTAATCAACAGATGGAAGCTTGAATTAACGGTTGTTTTAGACTGCCTTAATAATAGAATATTCAATTCAATTCACTTCCTTTTGTATAGCCCAAAATCGCAAATTACAAATTTGCCTCAGAGGGCTTTACAGTCTGTACACATACAACATCCTCTGTCCCGAAACCCTCACATCGGCACAGGAAAAACTCCCTAAAAAGTGAAAAAAACCTTCCAAAGAGGGAAAAAAGGGAAGAAACCTTAGGGAGAACGTCAGAGGAGGGATCCCACTCCCGGGATGGACAGACTACAATGGATGCCATGTGTACAGAATGAACAGTGAATAATACATTCAATTCATATGACAGAAATGATTCTAGTAATTGTGAGTAGTAAGCCAGGCGCACAGCAGGACCACGGCAGGTGTCAGGACCAGGGTCCAGAAGGAACTACGATCCACGAAGACCTGCTAGGGGAGAAAGCACAAAAAACTCCCAGAAAGAAGCTGAATTAGTCATGTGCATTAATAAAACGTGAATTATTGTAGAACGAGAGCGTGAGAGAGGAGGTCGGTGTGTCCTAAGAAGTCCCCCGGCATTCTAAGCCTATAGCAGCTTAACTAAGGGCTGGTCCGGGCTAACCTGAGCCAGCCCTAACTATAGGCACAGTCAAAGAGGAAAGTTTTAAGTTTTACTTTAAAAGAGCTGACCGAATCTGCCCCCCGGACTGAAAGTGGAAGCTGGTTCCACAAAAGAGGAGCTTGATAACTGAAGGCTCTGGCCCCCAGCCTACTTTTTAAAACCATAGGAACAACAAGTAACCAGCATCTATGGAGCGCAGCTGCCTTGTAGGGCAATACAGTGTTACAAGCTCTTTAAGATACAACAGTGCCTCACCAGCAAGTGCCTTGTAGGTGAGGAGAAGTACCGTAACATCAATTCTTGATTTAACAGGGAGCCAGTGCAGAGAAGTTAATACAGGAGTGATATGATCCCTTTCCTTAGTTTTTGTTAATACACGTGCTGCAGCATTCTGAATCAACTGGAGAGGCTTAAGAGATTTACAAGAGCAGCCTGATAACAAAGAATAACAGTAGTCCAGTCTAGAAGTAACAAACGCATGAACTATTTTTTCTGCATCACTTTGAGACAGGAAGTTCCTAATTTTTGATATGTTACGTAGATAAAAATAGACAGTCCTTGAAGTCTTCTTTACATGCAAGTTGAAGGTCATATCCTGCACTGAAAAAAGCGTAACAAAGCTGTTGTTCATTTAATGTGTTTTTTTTCATTCCAATGAATAAAAAAAATTACTTTGCTCTATTAAACTAAACTTTTTTATTTATGGGTTAGGGTTTAATTGAATATTTTACTTTACTACAATGTAAACTGATAGCAAGGCACCAAACTGATTTTTTTTATTTTAATCAAAGTATTTTTATTAGATTGAGTGATTCGCGCATGCGCATTTTTTAAAAAGTTCTGGCGGAAACTTATTTCCACCTCAATCTTCCATTGCAGAGGACGTTGTGAAAAATATCAGACCCCACGGCATTTTGGTAACGTTAAGGTAAGTCATTACGATTTTTAAAGATGACTGGGCGAAAATGTTAGCCCGCAGACAAAGTGTCTGTCTTAAGTGCCTTAAGTGTTTGCTTTTGTGGGCAATTAATCGTGCGGCTAGGGTTGGCGCTGGGGGGAGGGGGTTCGCCGTTCGGGAGGGAGGCGAGTGAGGTGGGAGCAGATGGCGGCAGTGTTCCAGTCGACGTTTACATTCTGAAAAGCGTATATACGGCGTTAGCGCGTAGCTAACTACCTAGCTAAAACTATATACGGCGTTAGCACGTGGCTAACTAGCTAGCTAACACTATACACGGCGTTAGCATCGTAGCTAACTATCTAGCTAACACTATACGTGGCGTTAGCACGTGGCTAACTAGCTAGCTAACACTATACACGGCGTTAGCACGTGTTATTGCTTACTGTGCTGTATTTTCTCGTTTTGGTAAAGCTAAACTGACCTGTGTAATAATGAAGCAACTTAAATAATGTCTTTTCAGGTATTTTATTTCATAGGCATAGTAAATCCGATTTAAAAAGAACAGAAGGCATAATAATGTTTTGTCATTTTTAAACTGTATTAAGATGTAGTTCATGTAACATTGAGAATATCCATCATTAAAACGTTTTTTTCTCTTAATTTAAGGAGAGCTGCCACAAGATCCACTGTGTTCCTGCTGTGCAACCACCAGTTTGGAAGTCCCTCATCTTATTGTAGTAAGTTCTGAGTACAATATCATGAGTGTATTTGTGATAATTAGATCACTCTCCTAAAACCGTCCTTTCCTCTGCCTTTTTATTTTTCCTCAGTTATCCATGTATGTGGAAATGTAAACTACAGAAAAACAACAACCGTCAAACAATAAAATAAAAGATGGCAAAGACGTTTGGATACCGTAGACAAGAAATAGTGCATAAGCAGCCGAGCATTGAAGACATGTTGACAAGATGGCCAGCACTTTTTCAGATGGAGGAGGTATGTTTTCAGATGCAAGGCACTGTAAGCCTATTTTTGAGAGGAGAGGGACTTAATATATTTGTTAATACCAATGGTGTTCATGAGCATTCATGAAAGATGATTTTTTTAACCTTAAAAACTTTGGTCTTTTCAGAGGAGAATTTATTTAATACACTTTTTAAAAGTTCTTTCTGCGTGCTCTGTTATTGTTTCTCCAGATTAATGCTGAGTTCATGCGGGTGACAACAGTACCCTTGGAGACAAAGTTCTTAGCGCAGTTGGACAAGCACACGTCAAAACTGCTGGAGGTCATCAGGAGCAAGGGAGGGCGTGTGAAAGAGCTGACCAAGGCAACTTTGCAGGTTTTAGATGAGGTATCTATTTATGAATTGGTTCTTAATGCGATCCATAGTTGAATAGTTGGTGTGTATGTGCTTTTATTAATACCTATATTTCCTCAGACCGTGGACATCACAATTAGAAGAGAGTGCATCTTAAAATCTTTGATCTACCTGGGTGAACCTGTTCATCACCTCATTAAAGACTGCCAGGTAAGGGCATCTCCCTCACTAACACAAACAATATCTATATACCAACTTTGCTTCAACAATGATGTTCAGCATTGACATGCATTGTCTTCAGGAAATGTTCTTTCCAATTGTCCTCATTTCTTGTTTTTTTGTGTGTGCAGGAAAATGAAGCAGCCATGGTAATCGTCAGTGGAAACGAGGACATTAAAATCGTCATTGACCGAACAGAGGTCCTCAGAGAGGTGCCCACAATAGCAACGGCTGTTGCTATGTTCTTCGGGCTCACCTATGTTCTCAACATGAAATATCCCAAAAATATGCACTATACCCTTGAGTTTGTGCAAAAGGTCCTGATGAAGCTTGGTGAAAAAAATTCATAGGCTGAGTACCCAGCTTGGCAGCCAAGAGTAGGCACAGTAGAGTTCCACTGTTAGGCCTAATTTAATGGCATTTCTACAACCAAGACTTTGTACCGTTTTATCTGGGGTTGGTGTTTGAAACACTTGCACAACTACATTTCTGCTACAGTATGGACAAAAGAATCTGCCTAAGGTTTCACAGGCACAAGTGGGTATTGTGCTGGAGAGCACTGATTTGTTTATTGCAGCATTTTCTGACCAAGAGGATCAGGAGCTACCTCACTCGTTTGCAAGTTATGGAACTGATGACGTTCACACACATCACTTTTGATTTTAAGGAATAATTCCTCTCTGACTGTATTACATTGCATTTTCAAATGGTCACTGTTCAGTGAGAAAAATGTTCCCAAATGCTGTTGGTTTACTTGAAAATGCATGTCTTCATTACTGTTTGTGTTTGAGATGTGATGGTTGAGAAGCACTGGTTTATGTTAATACAATGAGATGTTGCTGTTGTATTTGAGGGGAAACGACATCATTGAGAAGGACTGTTTTTAAGGTGGGACTATGTTGAAAAAAATGTTCATTCAACAATAAATGTGTTGAAAAGGAATGGCTTCTGAGCTTAAATCAAAATGTATTAAAATATCTTTTTTTAATTCAGGTCTATAAATATTAAAGTATTACTTTAAATTTTTATTTGAGACAACTTAAAAAAATAGTTTTCTCCGATATTCAAAAGTTGTTTAAATGAATTTAAAATAATCAGGTTTAACAAAGTAGATTATTTACATTAAGCAATAAAACCAATGTATTTATTTTAATTTAGGAAAATCTGAAATAATTGCTTTGGTTCAACCTTCAGAAATGGGTTTACACGAAGTTAAATATTTCAGGTCAAATCAAATGAATTATTTATATTGTATAACACTAGAATATTAGTTGTGATCGATTACCTCAATTTTTCTAATTTGAGCCAA